AGGGGGTGGGAGGAAAATGGAGGCGGGGCAGACAGGACGCCTCGCAATCGACTGGTTGAGATCTCGTGATCGATCTGTTGGTGACCACGGGCCTAGGATTTCCTTCAGGAAAGTCTACCTGTGATTATACTCTCACACCCATATGTCAAAGAATTTCTCCAGTAGACTGGGAAGGCAGACTAATGTTTTTTTTAATTGACTATTTTGGAGGCACTTGGCAAAAGTCAGAGCCTTACAAGTTCTTACATAGGTATCTTTGACTACATGGTGCATCTCGCTTCTGTTTCTGTTTAAACCAGGCCCTTTAAAATCATACTTCTGTGTAATTGCTCAATTTTTTAAAAGAGTTTGCAAAACCTGAACACTCCTCATAAATAATCCGAGCACCTGCCTCATCGGAACCTGTCTGTCTTTGCACAGTGCAACTTTGACGTTGCTGCTTATTACAGGCAGAAAGAGCAAATGCAGAAGACGAATGGAGGAAAGGACGTGAGTGAACGAGTCTTATTTCATGGGACCAGTAAAAAGCATATCGATGCCATCTGCCAGCAGAACTTTGACTGGAGGATCTGTGGTCTTCATGGGACAGCTTATGGCAAAGGTAATTCTCTAGCTCATGCTCTGCTAGCCTTGGTTGAGAGAGTTTTCTACAGCCAAACTGTAGCTGCAGCAGTAGTTTAACTGTGTGAGTCTGGAGGAGGCATTCACATGAGGTAGGAGTTACCCACTAGGCATACAAGTATGGGGAGTGTATGGGAAGCATTCCTGTTAACCACTTAATGTGGCAATGTAACAAACACACTCAATTGGCACTCGGGCACTTCTCCTGACTTTGGCCTATGTGCTTTACTCAGTGTGGTGTAAACCCACCCAAGGAATGTTTCCAGCAGCATACCTGTTACCAACCCACATTGATGGTGTACATTTTAACAGTGAGAGTAATTAGTGATTGGATCCGCTTACCTCAGGGTTTGATGGGCTCTCCCTTCAATGGCAATGTTTAAATCAAGAGCGGCTGCTTTTTCTAAAAGATCTGCTCTAGGCAATATTGTGGGGGAGCTCTCTGCCCTGGGGTCTACGCGAGGTCGGACTAGATCAGAGGTTTGCAAACAGTGGAGTGCGCCCAAGGGAAGTGTGGAGGAATGTTCGCAGAAGCTGTGTCTGGTACCTGGGTCAGCTCCTACAGGGGGTAGGGAGGGAGTGCCACTCAGCTCTGCTGCCAGCCCCAACCCCCCCACCACCCATCCAGGGCTCTGCTATTGGCCTCACTCCTGCCCCCAGCTGTGGTCCCAGCCTCGGCCCCCTTACTCATGGCCATGTTCTCTTCACTCCCACCCACCACCGAGCTGCAGCCCTGCTCTATGGTAGGAGGGGAGCAGACAGGAGGAAAGGGGACTGTGACCATGTAAAGTTTGGTGACCACTGGACTAGATGATCATAATGGTCCCTTCTGGCCTTGGAATTTGAGCCCCTTCCCAATGCACAGCCTGGAGAAGAGGGGATGGCCAAGCCGGGGAGGGAGGGATGGGGGGGACTTGAACAGTCATTCTGTGTGGCTTGTTGCCCGAGTACCCCTATTTTCTGAAGTCCCAGAGCACAGCTATTGGTTGGTGTCATGCTGTGCTGCCATCCAAAGCAGGTCGTGCTGCCAGAAAGGTGGGGTGGGTTATGAAGAAGGGCGAGGATTATGGGAATGAGCCTTATTGCAGCTATGGATCCATGGAGATGAACCCAGCACCAACCCCAGAGATCCCTCACTTTCATTTGAATCCATGACACTGCCTGTCTCCATCACCTGCTGCTTGTTTTCTGCGAGTCCCAGGAGGAAGTGATACTGAGTTGGTCTCTGATGCTATGCAAGTAAACTACTCTCTGCTTCAATGTTCCTTCTCTGCCTGGCAAATGATACAGTCCCTGCCACTGCCCAATTTGCAGCACAGGAATAACCTATCAAGGGAAACAAAATGGGCTTTAATTTTTTAAACAATCCATCATTCTAGAGCAGTGGTTCCCAACCTGTGGACTCCTGGTGGTCCACGATGGTACTGCAAGTGGTCCATGGGAAGTTTTAAATGTTTGGATCAGACCCCTTACTTTTTCTCTCCTCTTCCCCAGGGAGAAGGGAGAAATTTTAATGGATTGAAAAAGGATCCGTAAGTTCAAAAAGGTTGGGAACCACTGTTCTGAAGTATAGTCATCCGGTCAGTTGCTTATAATTAGAACATTTTGCAGGGCAATATAGTTCAATTTCAAGCTTCTAAATCTGTGCGCGGTGGGGTGCGTATAGGGGCAGAAGAGGAAATAGAAGTTTAGAGAATGAAAACCACTGGTAATATGTAACATGTTTTGTGAAAAAATCAGATTGTGTGAATTGTGCTGGTAAAGATGCCTATCACGCTATTTACAAATCTTTCACCTGTTTCTGATTGATTCGGTAAATATTATGGGTTTTTCCCTCCTTGAAATTCTAATGGTTATATTACAGGAAGCCAACAGTCTTACCCACTTTATCTTTGTCTACTGCAGGAAGCTACTTTGCAAGAGATGCATCATACTCTGATAACTATAGCAAGACCGACTTAGACATCAAGACCATGTTTCTGGCTCGGGTCTTGACAGGGGATTTTACCCTTGGTAACTCTTCCTATCTTCGTCCTCCTGCCAAGGACAATGAAAACCATTTCTATGACAGCTGCGTGAATAGCCTTTCGAACCCATCTATCTTTGTCATCTTTGAGAAACATCAGATTTATCCTGAATATCTAATTGAATATATGGACCAGGCAGTTGCAACTGCTCTGTCAAAGGCTGCACATGTTTATTTTCGGAATTGATTTAACTGAGGAGAGTTTTGTTTAATAAAAGTGTGCCCAGTACATTTTTATACACACTTAGATTTTCCACCCTCTCCTTGTAACAGTAAGCGAGGTGGCCATCTTAAGATATTTTCGAAAAGACATAGTATTTTTATGAGTTTCTAAAATCCTGTCTTTATTCCTACATTTCTCCAGTGGGACTAACTTGTTTTTCCCACTGTTAGTCTGTTTCAGGAGATTTAATAAATCTAGTAGATGTTCATATGATTATTGCAATGTGACATGAAGTAATGGAAAAGCAAGTCACTGTAATGTCATTTTTAATAATAAATATGTTTCCCCCCAGGGAAGTTAGCTGTGAAACTAGTTAACCAGGGCAAAGTCTGCACATAGTTTCTTGTGGGCAAGCAGTATAATAGTTTCTCTGGGACTGTTGCCCACACAGACCTCCTGTGGATCACTGCTACCACAACAGGGCAACCTCCTATGGCCATCTTTTAGCTAAGAGTTTCTCCTCTTATTACCTCAGGTTTGTTAAGCCCCAAATGTGGGTTATAAAGAAAATAAGAGGAAGCGTTAAATCTGTGCTGGTATGTTAGTTTGACTCAGGCTTTGTGATGTTAACACAAATGAGAGACCTGTGTGTTGTGGTTGGAACAGCGGCAAGCTTAGGGTGTGTAAGCAGGGAAGCCAGAGCAGTTGTTGTGTGTTTTCTGCTCTTCAATTGAACTACTTCAGGCAAAACATCTAAGAACTTCCCTTTCTAACTCTTTTTCTCTTTTAGACTTTCTTGTAGAATTGACATTTTTCTGGCACGAGAGAGAGATGCGGCTGCTGCAGCTTTCTGCTCTTTTCTGTTCCTAGTTGTCAAAGGTGGGATAAAAATACACATTTGCACTTTTTTAAAGCATGATTCTACTTTACGAATCAGCACCGGGATCATGTTTATTGTCCCTGGTTCCAGATTAAAGGGGTTTTTTAAAAGGCTGTTTTTCCTAGTTGTCAGCCCAGCAAACTCAACTTGGGGAAACTAAGCATTGAACAAGATTCTTTCTTCCTCCTTCATCAGTGAAAGGTTCTGTAGGTCATGTCTTCAGGGAAATCTGTGGAAACACACTATATTCTACAGGGTTAAGTGATTGATCCTGTAATTGGACTATAGAACACAATTCTGTTGATATACCAGAAAGAACAGAATCTAGTGCACTATTTGTCTTGGCTATATTCACACCTGTATGTTAACAGAAATCAAAAGCAATCAAAACTCCTGACGCTAATTTTAGCTATCTCAGTCTTAAAGGAACAGAGACTGGGTAAACGTGCCATTTCACATACAGTAGTTGCATTTCAGAATAGAACTGTGCTTCTGGGAGGCTTTCCCCTTCTTCTACCTGTTAACTTTTCATTCACACATTAGTTAAGCCTGGATTTTTAATAAATACCCCCCAAAAGGGTATGATGTGCTGGTAAAGCTCTGTCCAAAAGCTTCCTGTAATATGGGAGAACAGAAGAAACTTCTGAAACCTAATAATGCCTCTGATTATCAGTTGTTACTTAACGCTGGCATGGGTCTGACTTCAGTCTAGCTTCTGCTCAAAGTTGCTCATTGGAAGCAAGTGCTAAAACTGGAAACGTAGCAAGGACTGGTGAAAGGTTGCCCATCCTTGTATGTCACAAAATAAACAATAGTGCCTCGTGCCCTGCTGCTGTGAACAGCTGAGCTACTTAGTATTGTAGTGACGCTGCTACAACTAACTATAGAGCTGTTAGAGTGCATTACTATTGAGGTGTGAGAAGTCAGGCCACTAAAGCTTTCCATAAGTTTCACTGTCCGTATGTGTTTGTCCTGGCATGTAGGAGGAGTAAAGGTGTAATATGGCTTTTATTGGTACCTGGAAATGTAAGCAGCTGTATACTTCTCATTTACAATCATGGTTTTAGTTTCTGAAGCTTAATATTTGCATCACTTAGGAGACTACTCAGGGTTCGTACTCTCCTTTGTCACTGCTGGGGTTACAGCCCGGGTTCCCTGTAAGCTGGGCACTTGTGCAGCCCCTCAGGAGCGATTCAAATGCCGCCCAGCTGATTAGCAGAGACTCACAGCTTGTTCCAATTGGTGGTGCATATTCTTACATGCTTGAATGCACATAAAAATTTATTCTGCACATAGATGGAAAAAATCCACACGTGGATGGAAAAGATTAGGGGGCACATTGGTTACAGCAACCGTCTCTGTTATAGTAGATGCATTGGTTAGTTATATATTCCAAGTGCCTCCTGATTTCCAAGAGGAAAAAATGTCTAACTGGAAGCTTTCTGTCTGAAACTGAAATTGAATCTTCTTATTCTCGGCTGTATGTATGATATCTGTCACAACATGTATGGCTCCTCTTTTAATGCAAATTAAAATATATTGAACTGAAAAGCAATTTTAATCAAACATAGGTCTGTTTGCATCCTCTAATTCAGGGGTCCCCAATGCGGTGCACCACGGGTGCCATGGTGCCTGCTGGGGCATTTGTGTGCCTGTGCTGGTGTTTTAAAACAGTGGTCTCCAAAGTGGGGTGCACGAGACGATCGGAGGGAGCGCATGCCACTGCGCAACAGCTGAGAGGGGAGACACTGGTTTGCAAGACATCTGAGGGAGCGCATGCGCGGAGAACATGCCGCACATGCGCTCCCTCGGATGTCTTGCGAACCAGGTGTCTCCCCTCTCAGCTGTTGTGCGGCGGCATGCGCTCCCTCTGATCGTCTCGTGCACCCCCTCTGCACAACAGCTGAGCAGGGAGATGCCAGGTTCGCAAGGCATCCGAGGGAGCGCATATGTGGCGTGTTCAAACGCCTGCGCAACAGCTGAGAGGGGAGATGCCCGGCGTACTGTGACGTTACGGCTTGGGACTTTAAATTTTAAAACTGCGCGGCCCAGCTCCAGGCCTTGTACGTGGTCTAGGGTCATGGAAGCAGCTGGGGCGGGGCTGATCACAACAGACTCAAACTGGAAGGCAGAAGGTGGGGGGTGTGGGAAAAATAAGGGGAAGGGGTGGGAGAGGAAAGGGCTTGTGCTGAGGGGAGGGGGGCAGGTCAGGAGAAGAAAAGGGAAGGCACCAAGGCACAGGGTGGAGGGGAGACAAATGCCAGGGGGCCAAGTGCAGACAATGAGGGAAAGGGCAGGAGGGGAGGTGTCAGTGGGAGTGGGGACAGGGTGATGCTGGGAGGAGAGGGTAAGGGCATTGGAGGGGGGAGGGGGAGGTGCTGGGAGAAGGTTTGAAAGAAGGGTGGGCATGAGGAAGGCGGGGATGGAGCAGATTGTGTGAGGGCACAGGCATGAAGGGTATGGGGGCAGAGAGGGTGGTGAGGGGGTGGGCATCAGGAAAAAAGGGCAGGGTCAGTGAGGGAAGGGGGAGGCAGCCGGAGGGTTCAGGGGGTGAAGCAGAAGGGCAGACACGTGCAGGGGAGGGACCAGCACCAGAGGAGAGAAGCAGGGCAGGTGTGGAGATGGGGGTTGCTCACATGATCAGAGTGGGGCTACTGGAGGAGTGGAAAGAAGGGCTGGTGGAGGGGGGCAGGTCTCAGCAGGGCTGAGGGCAGTGAGAAGGGCAGGAGTCAGGACAGCAGAGGAGGGTGAGAGGTTGGGGGGCAGAAGGGACCAGGGAGCTGATGGAGCAAGGGGAGGAGACATGGCAGCAGATGGTAGGGATATGGTGGGGATGTGGAGTGTGAGATTTAAAGGTGCCATGAATTTTTTTGGGGGGGTGTGCTTTTTTTGCTCAACATTTAGATTCCCCCCTTTTATTAATGCAGGATTTTGTTTTAAAATGAATTACTATGTAATTAGAATAAAAATTATCCAACTAAATTAAGTTTGTATCAAATTTACCCAATTCACATTTAATATGAAAATAGCCTTCATTTTGCGCATTTGACGCCTTTTTTCTATTTTTTCTCCAAAGGGGGGCCCCACGAAATTGTGCTGTCCTGGGCCTCCCAAAACTCTCATCCGCCCGGACTGATGCTGCTGTTTTCTTATGCTTTGCGATTTATTATTTTTATAACATTTTGCCCCAAAATGAGTGGTTCAAATAAAAGACAACGTACATATTATTTCAACGCAGAGTGGGAAGAATCCTATTGTTTTATTGACACTAAAGGGAAATGTGTTTGCTTATTGTGCGGTGGTACTGTTGCAGCACCGAAAAAACATAATGTCGAACGCCATTTCCAAACTAATGATGGCTCTTTTGACATTAGCCATCCAATTAAATCTGAGTTGAGAGAGGTTTGATTTGAGTTGATTAATTTTCTTCTATCTGCCCAGCAATCTGTTTTCACTAGACAAGTGCTAAATCTAAAGCAGGGGTACCCAACCTTTTTCGGTCCCCATGCCTCCTTGGCTTTTACTAAACCTTCCCGTATCCCCTATTCAATATGAAAGGAAATAAAGTCTAGACTCCAGAATCTACAACTTTTTTCACTAATACTACTACTTTTGGAATATTTCAATTAGGATAATCTAGTTATTTACCAAATATTCCCCGTATCCCCTTGACAAGGTTCTCATACCCCTGGGGGTACGCGTACCCCAGGTTGGGACCCCCCTGGTCTAAAGTAATATTAAATATGATGTTTTTTGTATTCTTTAATGTTCAAATACAAAATAAGCCTTGAAAAATTGTTGGTGCCCGCCACACTCTTCTGAAAACATGAATGTGCTATTGGCCACAAAAAAGTTGGGGGACCACTGCTCTAATCCTCTTTAATGTTTCTATCTAGGTGGATGCTTTTTAACTCTGATAAGTAGCAACAAAGTGGATTCATACTGAATGCCTTTCATGCAAAGCAGAGCAGTCTGTATTGCAGCCAGTATATGTATGTGTATTTATTTTTATATGATTGAAATAATAATTTGCTCCACCTGTTCGATGCATGTCTTTTTACTACCTAGCATCTACCATCATCTGGCCTCCATTGGAAAACTTTAGTGTGTTTAGACACTATGCAGGGAATCAGGGTTAGTCTGCCTTGACCACCTGATAGGACCAGTTCTTTTCAGCATTCTAATCAGCATTTTATCCTATAATTCAAATGTTCTCAGCTGTGTTTAAACCTGATTATGTTGTTTAATGTAGATAGATGATCCCATTGAAAAATATATGGCTATTCTTGTTTTCTGAAAGAAATGCAACAGGCCAGATAAGATTTACTTAAACCCTACTTTTAATATTTGAACATAAGAATGTGCATTTAATTTTTTTTCCTTTGACTAATCTCCAGTGGAGTTGGTTTGAAATTTTGGGGCCAAAAAACTGCCCAGAAAATGGAGTTTCATTCAAGATGATGTATTATGGGGGGAAATGCTTTTTGCCAGAACATCTTGGCTGTGTCTAGATTGGCAAGTTTTTCCGCAAAATCATGTGATTTTGCGGAAAAACTTGCCAGCTGTCTACACTGGCCGCTTGAATTTCTGGAAAAGCACTGACGATCTCATGTAAGATTGTCAGTGCTTTTCTAGAAATACTATGCTGCTCCCATTTGGGCAAAAGTCTTTTTCCGAAAGACTTTTGCGCAAAAGGGCCAGTGTAAACAGCACAGTAGAGTTTTCCGCAAAAAAGCCCCGATCGCGAAAATGGCGATCGGGGCTTTTTTGCGGAATACCGCATCTAGATTGGCCACGGAGGCTTTTCCGTAAAAAGTACTTTTGCGGAAAAGCATCCTGCCAATCTAGACGTGCTTTTCTGAAAATGCTTCTAACGGAAAACTTTTCCGTTAAAAGCATTTTCGGAAAATCATGCCAGTGTAGACGTAGCCCTTGAGTTTTATTTCAGTGACAAATTTCAAAACAATTTCATTTTTGAATTGAGACTTCTATTGGATTTTTAAAACAAATCCAGAATTGACCTTTATTCGCCTTGTTATTGCCACTGAATATAATAGGATGAATGATGTCTAGGCTGTGGATTTTCTCTTCTCAACTGTAGCTTTTAAAGATTTTTCCAATGTGTGTACAGTTAGAGTAGTAAAAAGAAAAAAAAAAACACTGAGTTTGCCATTGTAAGCTATCAAAAGTTGAAGAAGCTTCTTCCTCCATCCCCAGAAAAAACAGGTGTGCTTTTTTTAAAACCATATTTTCTCATCTTGAATGTTGAAAATATCATGGTTAATTGTACTTTTTGGTTCTGGTGAGCTTTCATGTTCAAATTCTTACAAGCTACGGGAGGGAGTCTATAGAATTCTCTATTCACGGTGCAGTTGGAAATTATTGGCCTTTAGACTTGTGAAAGGTACGTCATATGAGCCTGAATTTTATGCAAACTTTCAGTGACTGTCAAATGAAAGCCATGTTTGTTGATTGTTTGGAACAAGAGTGAGCAGCCGAGTGGGACAACAGAGAGGTTAGGTTCTGTGGATTTCTGTCAGTAGTCCTAGCCTATGAAGGCACATGGAGGGTGGGCTACAGGAAAAAGCTGGCTTGCCAGTAATGCACGGTAGGGTACTCTAGCATTTTATGATCAACCAACCTGTTGTGTATATTATGGAAACCGAGTCTACCCATTGACTTAATTTTTCAGGCATAACGTTATATTGATTTATAGGGCTTTGATAACAAAGCCAAATCCTAGATGTAAGCCAAGCACCATGAGGGGGGTAACAGGAGGGATGTGTAGTTTCGTCTCATGTTCTTGCCAAGTCTGATACCTGCAATCAGGACACAATCTGAGGGCCAAGTGAAGGCCTGCTCTGTTTATCCGTGGGAAGGAGGGAGGCAGTGCTGTGTGTGGTGTAGAGTTTTGTTAATGACTGGATTAGAAGTGGGAATTTAAAGACAAGATTTTCAGAGTGGTTGATCAGACTCACAGACAAGACAGGACCTAGCCGCATGGACTTGGGGTAGCCTTAAGGAGAGGACATTGTGAAAGTGGAGGAAACACGTGACTTCTGTGGCTCATGTTAAATTACTCTATTTTGGGAGGAAGATCAGGCAAATTTGGGGGTTATCCAGCGTCAGTGGGTAGTTAATCGTTGGATCACCACATGTCATAGAACCTGTACAGTGAATTAGTCAGGGCTCTTGTTCAAAAGTGCCTTAAAAATGGAGATGGCACCGGGAAACCATTCAAGGGAGTATTGGGGGAGATAACTGATGCTTGAGGAAATACTGCCAATTGCTTGAACAGGTGTGGCAAATCATAGCAAGGCAGAGAGCAAACTTCTTTGAGGATCTGACTTGACAAGGGCTGTTGGAAATAAATGAGTTTGTTTCCTGTTGCCTGCTGCATAACTTTCCCCAGTAATAAGGGATGGGAGATTCAGCTTTATTAACCATTCCAATTCAGGTGCTAATATTAATGCCCAGGGAACAATAAATATGTGCGAAACAAATCTGCATCTATGGTTAAGTTCAGATGGAAATACCATTTTACAGATAGAATAGAAAGCAACAAATGTAAATAAAGTATTTATTTTGTGAAGTGACTTCGTACTATGCTGCAGAATGTTCCTTAAAGTAGATTACAATTTTCAAATGAGTAATAGTAATTCTCCTTTCCCCTTCTAACAAATGCTTTGTGAATGGCTGCATTTGAAAGGTTCTCTAACCCAAAATGTTTTGTGTACAAATGACTTTTAAAAGTGACCACTTTTTAGTACAGATTGCAAAATGGATAAAGGTGGTGGTAAAGATATAACTTGCCAGACCTTCAGGGTTTCGGTTTGAAAGGTGTGTGTTTAAAAATGAAGAAAGGGAGGATGAGTTAGCCACAAGTTGGGCGTAGGGCTGTTAAATTTAGTTTAATCAACTAGTCGATGGATTTTCCATCGACTAGTTGATAAGCAGGGAAGCTGCAGTGAGGTTAGCTTCTGGCCTGGGAGCTAACCCCCTGGCCGCTCTGCCTTTTAAATGTATTAAGAGATGACCGGCGGGGGACCCAGCGGAAGCCAGGAATCAGCGGTTCTGGCTCACAGTGGGTCCGCACTACTCCTGTCTCCTGCGGAGACGGTTCTGGGGGAGAAACCAGCTTTTAACCCAGCTCCTCCCAGTACCAGCTTCTGCTCCCCTCCCCTTGCTGCCTCTCAGAGAGGCAGCAAGGGTGCAGGTAGGAGAGGGGGGGGAAGCGACTATCTGAGGGACTAGTTGACTATCTGATAAGCTTTTGCTTACTGCATAGTTCACTAGTTGCTTACATCCCAAGGTTGGGGAGTGTGGGCCACCAACACTTCTGGCTGAAAACTGGAGGCTGACTTTCTGATGTGGATATCAAGAACATAGCAAAGGGGACACACTTTTTCTTTTCAATCAAATGACTTTAATGAGGACATCACCCTAAACTATTCCAGTTTACAGGTATAATTATGTAATGTAACTTAGAATCACAACCACAAATAATATGCTATTGAAAACAATCAAGGCAAATTTGTGCATAGACAATAAGGTGCGTGTTGCATTTTTTTTTTTGTTTAGATAAGACCATTACCTCAGTATTTCATTTCATAGGCACATCAAACCATTTAAATTCCTGCATGGCCAGGCTGTGCAGTGAAAATATGGATGGGGCATTAACTATCAGGCTCATAACCCACATTTACTACTCTAGAACTCAAGCTAGAAGAAAATTCAAACACAAGCCTTAGTAAGCCCAATGAAAGCATGACTTTTAAAGGTGTAGACACAGTGACCAGCAGAGAGAAAAGCAGGCTGTGCCCATAAGACCAGCCTCAGTATGCTATATGTGAGCAGGAAACTGCAGCTGGGAATACATGGAACAGCAGCAGTAGTTTTTAATCGCACTACTTAGTATCTTATTTGCAGACAACTGTATACCATAGAAGAGAGATGTTTCCCTTCACGTGTGACTGGATCAGCTGCTGCTACAGCAGAAACCAATTCACACAGAAACAGTCAGGCGAGGGGTGGGTTGGAGGTTTAAGCCACTGAGATTTTTTTTAAGTGAACTTTTGGTAAAAGTACCAATGAGAGCTCAGTTGGCTGGAGCTTAAGGAAACTTAATTTCACAGTGCAGGAAAAAAAAATTGGGGCAAGATGAATATAGATGGAGCTTGGCGGTGCTTAGGCACTTTCTGTCCTCTTGTTCATGATCTCGGTATATAGTAGAAACAAAATTAGCCCTACGTTTAGAGAAAATAAACTATGCAACCCACTGAAATACTTTTAAATCTGCCACTTATTACCCCACTCTCTTACTGAGATCTACCTTTTTTTATTTGGTAGCACTTCCAATTTTTTTATTTGGTAGCACTACCTGCAATGTCATCGGTGCTTCTGGTTGGCCTGGGAAGGGACAAGTGCCCACATGCTCAAAGGTATTTAGGTTCCTTGACTTACACTGAAAGCAGGGGAAGCCCTCTGAGGATCTGGGACACTATACCTTTAGGCTGAAGGCAGGAGTAGAGGCTGCTGGGAATTCTAATGCTGTAGCTGTCATGATCAGGGTCCTAGTTTGAGGAATGCTCCACTAACTTATCAAGGACCCAGCAGTCTGCAACAGGGACACATGCAAAAACTATTTGCCTTTAGCTGCTGCAGATGCTGTGATCAAACTGGTCCTGAAGAGTCAAATACGTGCTGCTTGGCTTTGGCCGTGAGAACATCCAGGTTCCTTGAATGCAGACTCTCAGCCTAGCATTCACCAATGTTCTTTCTCTGTGTGGGTTGGGAGAGGCATACATATGTGAAGTGACTTGCTGCAGGGTCACCCAAGAGTTAACATAGCCATTGAAACTTATTTTCCTGGCTTCTAATCCTTGGCTTTACGCTCATGCAGCCTCCTTTGAAACAATGAATTGACCAACTGTGGTGACTACTGAAATGCATAGAAAGAAAAAAACTACATGCCATGCTAGGAAAACTCTTGCTATACCACTATCTTCAAATCAACCCTAAAATTTCCTAGACCTTCAAAACGCTTACATTTTTATATTTCAAAATTCTCTAAATCAGGGCTACTCAGCATGTGGCCCGTGATGCAGTTTGGGTTTACGTGAGGCTCAATATGCGGCCCATTGGTGGGAGTCAAAACAAAAAAGTACTCAATAGAATGGTCTTCTGATATGTGTTTTCATAGTTAAATACCTGGATTGTCATTGCTCATTAAAAGTGTTGTCATATGGGTGGAAATCAGGTAACTATTGCATTTTATTAATAGCAGCAGAACTGACTTAACTAGGGCCTGTGTGTTGTGTAGACTTGCCTTAATCTTTGTATTCATACCCATCAAGTGTGAAAGAAGCTATTTGCATATATATTTGCATGTCTCTGCAACCACACTTAAATTGTGGCCCTTGGCATGTGCTGTGAGTATCATTATAGCCCCTCAGCACTTCCAAAGTTGAGTAGCCCTACTCTAAATAATATTCAGTAACAAACAAAACTTAATAGCTAGTCTACAATGTTCTTTGGTCTGGTCATAGACACTTGAGTGCTGTACAGAGGATTACCATTATTTTTAAATCCATTGTAAGAAATGTTAGATAATAATAATACTAGCTCATTTCATCCAAGTGTCTCACTGTTTGGTAACAAGCGAGTAAGCAATATTTTATTGGGTGAGGGGTGGCTTTCTGTACAGAGCTGGGAGTAGGCTCTAGATTTCCTGACTTTTAGTCCTCGCTATTATGACTATGCTTGCAGCCCTTTGGAGTATATCTAAATTAGGACTGAATGCTCTGTTAACAGGCTATCATTCCACATTATATAAATATACTCAAGGTGAGGAAGTACAGACTGCATGTTGGAGCCAAGACAAACTCCCATGTGGATAAGCAAAATGAAGAGAGCCTTACAATGACCACGAAGGGTGAAGAAAAGCAGAAGGCCTTTTCAGAGACTCTTCACAGTAATGTGCTTGGGTAAAACTTTGCTAAGCACCTAAGTACCATTTTCAAAAGTGACTTAGGGGCCTGAGCCTCACTGAAAGTCAGTGGGATTTTGGTCTACACCTTTTAAAATCCCATTGGCTCACAATGAGATTTAGGCTCCCAAGTCATTGATGGATTTGGGTAACATTTCAAAAGTATTTCAATAAGGCACTGAAAAACAGATCACCTCCTTGGAGGCTTTCTAAATAGGGTTTTTGCTCTATCGAGGTACTATCTTAATGTAGACTCCATTTTTTGGTCCTAATGTTGAGAGAGACGTCAACTGCAAAGGAATCTGAAAAAGAGATGAAATTACATATTTTATAAATAGACTCGCTTCCTGCACATGTTGGCAATATAATGCTAAAAATAATTGATGCCTAGAGGGTTAGATAATGGATGCCTAGGTATCTTAGGAATTTATCTAATGTAAACTGTTGTAAACTTTCAAGCTTGTGCGTGCTCTCTCTCTCTCCCCCCACCACTGGAGAATCAGGGCTTCTTTTATAGATCAAATTTGGTTGATCATACAAACATTTTAATTAAAACAATGGCATTCAGGCCTGGATTATTTTCCCATGACTGCACTATGACATGTGGGCCTTTGTTCAAATGGTTTGTCAGCTCAGAAGAGAGTTGACTGGTGTAGGGTATAAACTGTGGGATATACAAACCTGAGTCTCAGTGCTGGTTTCAAATTTGAACTTTTGCAAGATCCGCAGTAAAGTCATCTTCATCTCCAACAAAGCCATCCTCATGCCAATGCAGCTGCGTGGGCCTGCCCCAAATGGGAGGTATGCAAAGGGATTGTGCTGCAGCTTGGCCTCTGCTGTGAACCTGTACGGGAGGTAAATGGGAAACCAGCTAAATAAATGGTTTTCATACCAATGTGGTTTTCTACTCACCTCTTGAAAGAGCTGGATTTAAATTGGTCTCAGTAAACAATTCTCAAGGGGACCATTAGCAGACTGATCTAAACTAAAATGTCCTTTGTCAACGAGTAGTTCTCCTCGCAGCACAAACAGGCTTTCTTCATTTTTAAAAATCCGTGTTTAATGAACTGCCCTCAATAAATACTCATTATCTGAGGAAACTACAGAATACTAATGGAGGGGTTACAGCAATCCAGATCCTATGTATAATCTAATGGTGAAATTACTGCCTGCATATGCTAAGAGCTGATCTAGAAGGCAAACAGTCTTGCTCGCTGCATTGCAAAAGCACTGAACGTGGTCGATGGACAATGAGAAAAACAAGACTATGGAAGCAAGTATCTGATTGGCTGAGGAAGAAGGCTCATATTGCACAGGGTATCCTGCTGTTCTACATGTGCTCCATCCATTGAGGAAGTAGGAGATTTCAGTATTTAGCTCAAACTGTAGGCACACATGCTCTTAGGAGTGCCCAGTTCAAACCCTGGGGATGACTAAGGTGGCAGTCGTCCAGAAGAAAAGAGGGTAATTAAAAAAAGATTAGTAATACACATTCAAAAAAAAAAGATACAATTTTTTTAACAGGGAAGGTGAGTGACCTTTGGAACAAACTACCCAGGGAAGTGGGGGTAACACTATCTCTTGCAATCTTCAAATCCAGACTGGCTGCTTTCCTGGAAGGTGTATTTTAGCCAGACAAGGGATTGGGCTAAATGCACTCAGCAGAGCTCTGACCTTCTGCTCTCAAAATCTATGAACATGCTAGAAACGCAATGGCATGTCAAGAGGTGCTGTTGTCTAGATGTCAGCTCTTACTGGGCTAGAGTCTCCTGTGCAGTAGGGAGCCATAGGCTACTGAGCCAGCACAGAACTGCCCTAATGCCAGCTGAGCCAGCCACATAACTATAAGGATACGTGCACTTGTGCAAACAGGGTGGGGGGCAGACGGGTTGGAGGGGCAACAAACTCTCCTCTGCTTGCATATCCTATGCAAGGACCAGCCAGAGTTGCAGCCCCTGCCCATGGGTCAGGAAAGGTCCAGAGAAAAGCAAAGAGCACAGCAGGACTTAAATCTGATGAGAGCTCTTGAAGGCTATTTGAAGGTTGCAATTCCCTAACCTGGAAAGGAAAATCATCATTGATTGTTTATATTAATGGTGGCTCCTAATAGCTTCAAAGAGGAGGGCCCAATTGTAGTAAGTACCACTGTACAAACACATCACAGAGATACCACCTGCCTCAGGACAGAAGGATCAAGGTGTTCCACATAAGGGCAAGTGTAGTGAAAACATGCTAGTCTCCCCATTTTTGGTGTGTCACATAATGCAAGGACAATGGGATTAAGGGCAGTTGCCATCTATGGCCTTCTGCCCTCAAAATCTATGAACATTCTAGAAAAGCAGCCATGGTTCAAGGGAAGTAAATTTAGAGCTGATAACTCCTTCATGCAACATAATCGGTCTGAGGATAGTTCACCAACAGACACACATCCTGGAGTTCTGGTTTTTTGAGAGCGAAAAAGATGGCTACTAACAATACTGGCAACCTATGCAAGCTAAGGTGAGTCTATGGGTACCTTCTGCTTCCAGATGAGCTGAAGAAAAATTTACCACAGCTACGCTATGCACAGCACTGCACTGCACATCTGGTCAAGTGCATTATAGTTCCCATCCTCAAACATGCACTTTTCTTTAAAATACAGATTACAAAACACTTCCAGAAGCTGGGGGGTACATTGTAAAGTCCAGTGGTCAATAGAAGACTGAGACATGACATCTGCTAATAGATCATTGCCAGATCAGTCATCTGTAGAGCCCTCCATTAATACAACATTTGTATCTGCAAAAATGAGCCACTGATATCTGACATTGACATCTGCAGACATACAGTAGATAGCGGCAAATTAGCAGGGTTATAGATATAAAATTTGTATTTGCACCCATATCCACAAGAAAGAACTGCAGATATCCATGAATATAAAGCAGATATCCTTGGATTTACAGGGCTTTACTCATCTGCCTTTGAGAATACAATACAATGCTCTTTTACCTGGACTTCAGTGCTGCCCCTCTTTATGGGTTTCAGAGGGGTAGCCGTGTTAGTCTGTAATTGAAATTTTTTTTAAAAATAGTCCTGCAGCATCTTGGAGGCTAACAAAAAATGTAGAGGGTATAATGAACTTTCATGGGCACAACCCACTTCTTCAGATGAAGTCTCTGTGAGCTAAGTCATAGAGGAGACGACTAACTACAGGAGGCCCCTGACTTGCAACAGCCCGATTTCCAACCCTTCTCTCCCGCCCCCCGCACTTACAAAAATGGTTGTAAGTGTGGAAGGGGCCGAAAACTCCCAACTTACGTCCTCGGCCCGGATTTATGACGGCGCACAGTGCCTATTGTAAATGAGGGTTTGAGTTATAACACCCCCGACTTGCAACGCTTCCCCCAGAACCAATCGCGTCGCAAGTTGGGAGCCTCCTGTACAGGAAGGGCTGTTCCAAAAGGATTTCTCTATGCAAAAGCAATTACATGTGTAGTTACATTAGTGCATCAGAGCCAGTCTTAGATTTTCTGCTTCATTGTCAGTGAGTTTGAGATGCTAGTACTTGGTGCTAGAACTTTCACAAGATGGCTATTTGAGATGTGGGTCTTATCAGCTGTGTCCACAAAACTGTGCTTCTACGTAACACTGAAGCTGCAAAAATTCCAAGAGCACTTTTGGTTTGCTAACCTCTGCGGCTAAAGGACCGTCTCTACTCCAGGCAGTTCTACACATGGAACTCAGTTAAAACCCAGAAGATGAAAGTGAGAAAAGCTTTATAGGAAAGTTTGCCCTGTACACAGAGGCTACGTCTAGACTGCAGGCCTCTTTCGAAAGAGGCTTTTTCGAAATACACTTTCGAAAAAGCTTCTTTTGAAAAAGAGCATCTAGATTGCAATCTCTTCTTTCGAAAAAGTGAGCCGCTTTTTCGAAAGAGAGCACCCAGGCACCCAGAAAAAGCCCTGTTTGCATTCAAGAACGCCTTTTTTCGAAAGAGCACTTTCGAAAAAAGGCGTTCTTCCTTGTGAAATGAGGAGTACCGCCGTTGAAAGAAAAGCCGCGTTCTTTCGATTTAATTTCGAAAGAATGCGGCTATAGTTTAGACGCAGGTGAAGTTTTTTTGAGAAAAGGCTACTTTTTTCAAAAAAACCCTGCAGTCTAGACACAGCCAGAATGAAGAACTTGAAATCATCCTGCTCCCATTGAAGACAAAACTCTCAGTGGTACAGGATTAGTCACCTAGCACCCCACCCAGACTGTCCTAACATCTCAAAGAAGGGCTGCTTTTTTCTGGGTCATCACATGCAAATTAATACAAGTAGCCTATTTTGCTTCAGAATTTCTATAGCCAGGAGTGGCCCAAATAGCAGCCATTAAACAAGAAATGGGTAGACAATACCCAGGCCAGGTAGGCAACCACAGACAAGGCATTGCTTCATGTTTAAAGCTGATCTACCTGTAGCCACCTACTTTGGCGGATGTGAGGCTGAATATGGTCTAACTTATCTACAAAAGCAGCTTCTGCTCTCTTGGAATTCACATCTCCAGATCAGCTGCTAGAAGTGGGCCTCATCCTCCTTGATTGGATCCACCTCGTCATCTCCAGCCTGATCCTGGCCTGCATATTTATTCCTGCCTCTGGAAATTTCCACTACATGCATCTGACGAAGTGGGTCTTTGTCCACGAAAGCTTATGCTCCTACACTTCAGTTAGTCTATAAGGTGCCACAGGACTCCTCGTCGCTTTTGCAGATTCAGACTAACACGGCTACCCCTCTGATACCTGTTCCATGTAACAGGAGTTGCTGTGGCCATGTTGGGTGCAGGAATTATGCAGCAAATGGGAGTCTGAGGTGTGTTCATTTGAATACCCAATCCCTGAATGCACTTCCAGCGCATGGGAGCAGAGTCTTGGGAGCAAACTGCTCTCATTCAGCTCACTTACTAGCCATATGAGAAATAGCACTTAAGGCGGGTCTCGGTTCTAAAGCGATCTAAATAAGGACAAAGATACAAGAGATGACCAGCATTATCTTACATACCTTTCAGGGATGAATTTCTCAGGTTCTGGCCAGAACTCAGGGTTATAATGTAGATGTCCAACTGCAATTTCCACTATAGCCCCAGCTGGAATTTGCTGGCCCCTCACTACGCAGTCCCTCAACGTCTCCCGAGTGAACCTGCAACAGTTAAATGTCACTTGCCGCACTCGATAAGGATAAAAGTACAAAGGCAGGGTGTTGAAAGCAGTCATAGAATAAAGCAGCTCTTTTGGTCTTATAGTGATTAGGGATGCAAGATGGGGGTCATTGGTAGCTGAGCAGAGTTGCTTGACACAAAAGGACATTTTCAATCATCTTCACCATAAAAATAGAGAGCATGGACTTTTCACTGCAAATGAAATCTGCATCCATGACTGCAAGCTGCCAGCTAGACATCTCAAGCTGGTTGCTGCTGCTGCTGCTTCAGGTGGGTCTGGTAGCATTATTATTAGGGTTGCCTGACACTTCCAGTTATGGAGACCCTGTTTTTACTTGTTGATAACTTTTTGTCAAACTTTAACCATCTAATTTCCTACATTAGGTGTCTGCCTCAAACTGAATTTTTGAAAATTTCAGCCAACATACCCTGTCTTAGCACATATAACCTATGGATTATACTAAGTTTTATAAACTCCTCAACCCTCCTGAGGGGTATACATGTCTGCGGGGTATACAAGTTTATTTTTACTTGCCTGGGAGTGGGTGCAGTTTCCCTCTCGCCTGCCCTCTCTGTTCCCCCCTCCAGGAGGAGGGTGGGTTGCACCTGGCTGTGGCTGTGCCGAGCCTGAACGTGAGTGCGGCTCCCCTCCTGCAGGCTGGCCATCAATTACCAGGTACCTTAAGGTAGCATATATAACCCGTGGGCTATACACATCTGCGGGTTATGTTAGACTTTTTTTTTTTTTTTTTTTACACATTTAGGAAAAACCACGGGTTATACATGCTGATTTACAATAGCTTAGTTGTTTCTGCGAATGAAGGTAAGGGAAAATGCATCCTTTTGCTCACTGAAAAAATTCTGGTGGTGTTTTCTTTGAAAAGCACTAACATCCCCATGCTCTGGAGCAGGGACTGACATTTGGCAGAGGTTGCCCTTTGTACTGTACTGTTTCCAAGTTAAAAGCCATTGAAAAAACAAGCAGTTTGCAGTGCTCAGTAGAGATCTGTTATCATTTAACAGCTAATATCTGCAAAGACTGTCTGCATGGTTATGCTATAGCCCAGGCCTAGGCAGGACGTTTTCTGCAACTGGAGTTCTGGGCTGTTGCAGGCTGGCTCCAGCCACTGGAACTCAGCACAGGGAACATGTTTCTCTGATGCTCTCAGTGCCCCCCTGTTGGGCTGAGGCAAGGAGAGTGGGGATGAATCCTAACTTGAAAGCAGAAGGATGAAAACTGGAGCAGAGATGGGGAGGCAGTGGTGAGGGGAGCAGTCTGAGACAAGGGACCTTGAGGGGCAGAGAGTGAGTGACTGGAACTGGAGGTTGGTGGACAGAAAAAGGGAAAATGGAAACTCGAACTAAAGAGATTGGTCTGGGAACAGGCTCGGCAAGGAGACTGGGAATCCGTGGGGTGGAGAGCACAGGTCTGATGAGGAACCAATCTATGTGTATGGGGGGAAGCTGGGCCTGACTAGGCAAAGAGACTGGGACAAGGAGCTGGTGATGGGGACAATGAAATTGGATGAGGAGACTGAGAATGGAGACCTGGAACCAATAGGGGATGGCAATCGTGGTTGAAGGGAGAGGGTGGGAGACCGGTCAAATGAAGAGGTAGTGGACTGGATGGGCAAGAATACTGGGAGGTGGGAAAGCAAGGGGGGAAAGTGGGACTAGCTGGGCAAGGAGACTGGAAATGGTGATGGGGGAGCAGGGAGAGACATCAGAAGGGGAAACTATGATTGGCTGGGCAAGGAGGATGGGGTTTGGATAAGAAACCTGGGGAGTGGAGACGTGAATGGATTAGGTAAGAAGGCTGAAAGTGGGATGAGAAGTCAGGGATGGGGAAGGGAGAGGACTGAGGAAGGAACAGGGCAGAAGGAATCAATTTTGGGGGGAAATGGGCAGAACAGTCTGTGCCCACAAGAACACACACCCCTCCAGAGACTCGGGTGGTACCAGAGATTCCAGTCTAAACCTCAACATTCCCCTGCTCTCAGCAAATACCTATGAAACCCACGTAGCTGTAGCTTCTGCTACAGGCCTCCCAAACTCTTATACCAAACTTTGCAGAGATGGCAGCTGAATTGTTGTCTTATTTATTTTTCTGGGTCCCCACCTTGCTACCCCAGAGTCTGATCTCCAGAAGTGCTGAGCACTCAGCTGCAACCATATCCAATAGGAGCTGGGCTCTTACACTAAGTGCTGTATAATGCTAAATACTCTGAAAAATCAGGTTTCACTCAGGCACTGCAAATTAATACACGCTCCTGAGTTTCATCTTTTTGTGCTTCAGTTCCCCATCTGTAAAATAGGGATAATGCCACTCCCTCACTTCACAGGGGCATTGGGAAGATTAATTAATTTATGTCTGTGAATCACTCAGCTACATAGTGATGAGCTCACAGAATAAAACTCATGAGGAAATTAATAACCCTATTTTCAGAGCACAGAGTAGGCCTGAGGTTGAAAGAATAGCTGTTCACCAGTACAGATACACTGTCATTTTTTGGTGGAAGAGGATATGCAAATCGCACTGGCATTTGCATATCTTCTGATTCTTTTTGTGGAAGAGGTTTTTCCGATAAAAGTCCCTGTGTAGACCGGACCATTTGTCAGAAAAATAAACCTCTTGCGCAAGACCGTGTAAATCTCAATTTACATGGAATAAGGGGTCTTGTGCAAGAGGGTTTTTTTTCCGACAAATGTCCCCATCTACATGGGGATTTTTATCGGAAAAACCTCTTCTGCAAAAAGAATCAGAAGAAGATATGCAAATACAAACATGATTTGCATATCCTCTTCTGCAAAAAAATGGCAGTGTAGCTGTATGAGCACCATCTATTTTGTGCACCAAAGCTAGAAGGGGAGGGGGGTCTGTGGAAAAAATAGCATGTGGTCATGTCAGTACAGACTATCATAATGGATACCTATAAGGGGACCAGATTGAAGGTTAACGTAATTCTGGCATTTCCAAACTCTGGAGAGCTTGACTTTGCAACCTCTCATAATGTTATTCTAAGGGAGGCTTTCATGAGTACATTGTAAAGTTTCTATTAACATAGCATCTAGACACCTAGCTAGATAGCTAGATACTATTGTGCATTATCATCACTTGGTGGTTGTTTGGCATCCTACATGTTAAATTAATTTGATGGTCTCCTTTCATTAGCCACTGGAAATTACAGAAACTGCTACCAGAACTGGCTCCTTGTTTGAGAGAAAGGATGGTCTTTTAGTTAAAGCTCTAGTCTGGCACTTGAGATCTGGGTTTCATTCCTGGTTTTGTTACAGACTGCTTGGGTGAACTTGCACAAGCCACTTAGGTGCTTTTGCAAATTTTTCCTCTTAAGTGACTTACCTGCCTAAGTCCACTTACATATCAAGCCTGAAAAGATGAAGGGTAAAAAATTCAAAAGCGCATAGGTGTCTCAAAATTAGTCTGAGGCAGGCTTCCCTAAAGTGGACATGCTACCTCAATTTAGAGCCCCAGGAGACACTGGGGAGGAATAACTTAGCCCCTCTTCTGCAAAAAGGGGCCATTCTATTTCAAAATAATAGCAGTGGAGCATCTACACACACCTTATTTCAAAATAGCTGTGAAATGAGGTTTACAGATTTTGGAATAAGCTTCCCGTTATGAAATTATTTTGAAATAATGGAATGGCTGTGTAAAATTTTTAAAATTTAAAATAAAAAAATTAAAATTAATGGAGATTGCCTATCCCCTAGAACTGGAAGGGACCTTGGGTCATCAAGTCCAGTCCCCTGCCTTCACAGCAAGACCAAGTACAATCCCTAACAAATTTTTGCCCCACAGCCCTACATGGCCTCAGCAAGGATTGAACTCACAACCCTGGGGTTTAGCAGGCCAATGCTTAAACCACTGAGCTATCCCTCCCCGCTGCATAATTAATTTGGAATAATAGCTGTTATGCCAAAATAACTTTGTTGTGTAGACATACCCTTAATGTGTAGGCTTTTCAAATTAAAGACTGTTTTTTACTATTTGTGTGAATGCCAAACAAAATACAGGCTTGATCTTGACGGGGGCCAGTAATACAAATAGTGATATATGAACAGTCTCAGTAAGAAACCAAATACTGTATGGACCCTGGAGGCTGAACTGTTTCTCATCCCTAAATAGTGCTTCCTCCAGACCTGTAGTGACCTTGTTTTTGGGGTCATATGTATGATTACTGGGCGTGCACTGTACCTATTTAGTGGAAGATTTCAGTCTCTAGGACTGACACTGGCACTATTCACAGCATTATGCTCTCACACACAAAATTAAACAAAAAAAATAGATAACTAAGAATCAAAACCTGGAGAAAAGTATTGTCAATTCCTGCTTTTTGCTGAAAAGTGTTATAGGATCTTGGTGAAATTTACTGAACTACCAGTTCTGCAGAATGAAGTTTTCTATTTATTCAGCTTGTTTTTAAATCTCTCTCATGATAGTAACATTATTTTGTTTGCTACTGAATTTTCACTATTTCTTTGTATTCTGGAATACAGCACTATTCTTGTCTTATGTATCTTGCATCTGTCCAATGCACTGGGCCTTAAATAGAGATTAATAGCAACCACAAATGACTCCAGTGGAAGCTTCAAAATATTTTCTCTCTCTTCTAATTCTGTTTCCCATCTGACAAACGTTTCCTAGTGTTTCAGGTGGAGTTGAAATTCAAATGTCCCTGATGGTTAACAGGAATGAGAACTTCCATTTATATACCCATGGTTTTCAGAGTAAAATGTTATTTATGAGCAAGCATAATTAATTCTTACACCCAGTGTAACTCTACACAAAATCTTGGAAGACCCTGCCCTTAAATCTTGGAGGTAAGTAAAAGAGGGGTGTTGATTTTCAGTTATTTTATTTTAAGGTACTTACTACTGGAGAGTAAGATTTTCCAAAGTGGTCAGCATTGGCCTAAGTCTGCTACCACTGAAATCCAGGGGAGTTTTACCACTGACTTCAACAGAAGCAGAGTGAAGCCAATGCCAGTTTGAAAATCCCACCCTAAGAGCTGAGTCTTGTGTTCTGTTACAGCTTTATGATCTTACACGTTTGCTAATTTCTTTCATCTCCTCTACCTTTTTGAAGTAAACGCTACTAAGCTCTGAGAAATTATTTTAATATCAGTTTAAGGAAAGTTTCTAATACTCACTACATGGGGTCATTAGAATCAGCTATAACAGTATAGTATCGTATAAGGGCAGACTATTATACTATAGAATGAGCTATATATAGCATAGAGTACAATTCATGTTTTTGAATGCAGCAAGGGATGTGCAAAATCTTCAGGGCTACCTCTACATTGGCCCCTATTCTGTAATAGGGATGCTAATGTAGCACTTGGGAATAGGCAAATCCGTGGGGGATTTAAATATCCCCCGCGGGATTTTCATTTTCATGGCTGCCGCTTTTTTCCGGCTTGTAGATAAGCCGGAGAAAAGCGCCAGTCTGGACGCGATCCTCTGGAAAATTCAAGTGGGAATAAGAGATCCTCCGGAAAAGAGCTTATTTTCCGGAGGATCGCGTCCAGACTGGCGCTTTTCTCCGGCTTATCTACAAGCCGGAAAAAAGCGGCAGCCATGAAAATGAAAATACCGCAGGGGATATTTAAATCCCCCGTGGATTTGCCTATTCCCAAGTGCTACATTAGCATCCCTATTATGGAATAGGGGCCAATGTAGACACAGCCCAGGAGATCAGGGATTTAATGGAGTAACTGGCCTATTCAGCCTGTGGTCTACATAAATTCTGAAGTGAGCAGATCTCTGAAGTGGAGCAAAGAAGGGCCATCTGACTTCCTAAGGCTACTCTGTTTCAAAGATACTGCATCTCCTGGGCTTGGGGGACTCAAAGAAAGGCATGAAAAGGGACTCCTGACCAGCAGGCTTTGTAAAAGCTGCACCAAGTAGACCAGCATTAGCCAGTTGTTTTCGTTCATTTGGTCCTACTGTACCTCTCAAGTGCACAAGCAAACAGAGAGCTACATGGAGGACAAAAAGCATGAGGCTTCCAGACAGATTTCAACTATATTTATCTAATGTTATGCTCTCTAGGAGCCAGAAGGAAAGGTATACCTGAATGCAGGTGGGTACATGCGCAATGTCTCTGCAATCACCATATCCAGGTAAGGGAGCTCTCGGACATTTTGGTAGTCGGGGATATCCTGGAGAAAGGAAGAAAGATATAATTAAGCACTGGAAACTGCTGGAGCTCTGGAGAAGCCATCTTTGAGACTCTACCAATGCACTCTGGAATGGTGTTCTGTGGTGAGTGTTTCTAGGACAAGATGGTGGCATTCAAAGGCGGTCTAACAATGTGCCCAGTGTGGCCTTTATGACAAAATTTCCAAATGGCAGCAACTTGTGCTATTCCAATGGACCATAATAATGGGTAGGGTATGGGAGAATTCTGTTTCCTCCCATGGTGATCTCTTGTGCAAACTCAGTTTATTTGCTCTTTGTGTAGTAGATCTTGATTTGGCCCTAAGTTATATAACCCTGAAAATGTACATACAATTGACAGAAAGCATCATATCAATGAATACAACCCTGTCCCTGAAGAATTTACATTCTACAAAGAATCAAAGAAAGACAAAAATAGAGCAAGTAACACACCTCCAACCCTAAAACAGAGATAGAGTGCGCACCTCATGGAAACTGTACATGCCATTATTCAGTTCTGTCAGCAGAGGGCAGAGAAAGTACATCTAAAAAAAATCCCCAGTAAAGCTGAGAGCACTTGGGATCGCCTTGTCTCTCTTCTAAAATCTGACAGGCTAGCAAGAGGCGCTTACGCCAGACTAGACTAAACCTGTGAAGATTTGGGGCCTCTGAGGTTCACAGCAGGAACTGGATTCTGCCCGTTCTCCATTAACTACATCAGCTTTTATACATAATGCATATTTTATTGCATTTTCATGAGAAAATGAATGTTACATACAAAAAATACTAAGCAAAGAACAATTCCAGATGGTATGCAGATAATAGGTACAATCAAATGAGAATGCCTGGCTAGGTTAAACCATCCCATTTATTCAGTGCTAAGACAGCAGCATGTGCCACGTCAGATTTTCCGAGGACTATATAAATTCTGACAGATCCTCCTATGAGAGAGAGAAGTTCTATCACTCTAATTTTTCAGAAGGGAAATAGAGGCAGAGAGCCCTACATAAGACATTAAAATCCATCATTGCCACTACTCTTCTTTTATGTTTCATTCCTAGTCAATATAATATGCATTTTGTCACTCCAGCAATAATCATTTATTGTTGTTATTTGTATTACAACAGTGCCTACAGCCTCAAAACAAGACTGGGGTCTCACTGTGCTAGATGCTGTGCAAACCAGACAGCAAGTGCTAACCATTTTAACAGAGAAGCCAAAGGATGGGAAGAAAGGAGTATTATTAGCCCCATTTTTTCAGAGAAATAATAGAGGCACAGAGAGGTTAAATGACTTGCCCAAGGTCACACATGAAGTCCATGGCAGAGCCTGGAAATTAACTCAGATATTCTGAGTCCAAGGTTACTGCCTTCGCCACTAGATCATCCTTCCTCTCTCTGATTATGCAAAGAGTCCTACACTAACACACACACACACACACACACACACACACACACACACACACACACACAGTTAAGGCCCTTTCTTTTTAGGTTTTATTATGTTTACTGAAAAAAGCTAGTATTTGGTTTCTACTATCTCCCGAGTTTTGGATGTGGCTTTATAACCTGGGAAGACACTGGGCTCCACTCTTCAGAAGGAGAGATGGAGGCTTGGTAACCTAACTGACCTAAATAACCAAGCTGACATTTCTCCTTCCGGAGGGGGCCCAGAAGCAAAACAGGCAGCATAAGTAGATGGTGCCTTTGTAACACTAAACCAGGACTATTGAATGTTGGAAGCACCAGGCGCCACAGTGACACTTACAGCACGTGCTGAGGGCCGCAATTTAAGTGTGGTTGCATAGACATGCAAATATATATGAAATAGCTTCTCTCACACTGATAGGCATGATACAAAGATTAAGCCCCATTTAAGTCCGTTCTGCTGATGTTAATAAAATGCACTATTTACCTGATTTCTACCCTTATAACAGAACTTTTAATGAGCAATGACAGTCCAGGAATGTATATACTAAAACGCATATCAACAGAAGACTATTATAGTGGCTACTTTTTTGTTTAGGCTTCACAACAGTCCAGGAATTTAACTACTAAAGCGCATATCAACCCAAACTACATGGCAGGCTACAAACAAACGGGCCGTGGGTCGCATGTGGCCTGCAAGCCGAGTAGCCCTACACTAAGCCATAGTATGAAACTGCTTTTACATTCATATTCCTTTTTCTACTAGTTGGGTTTTCTTGTCCTTTTGCTCCCTGATATTAACCTTAATATTTACCTAAAAATTGTAAATATAATTCCACCTGTTTTTTAATTTTTGCAATAAAATCTGGGGAATATTTTAACAAAATGCAAATCAAACACAAAGGGCTTTGAATATATTATGTAATGTGCATGGTTTTCTATCAAAGACTTTATGTCTCTGTCCCTTAAAACTAATGTTTCCCCTGTGTTTTCCACACAATTCTATTTAAAAAAATAAATAAATAGGTAAGCACACTAGCCCTCTTCCTGCATTCCTTGCACACTTAAATCTCCCACTGATTTCAATGGATATTTTGGGTGAGCACAGAATTTAGCCCAAAGCGAATTCGGTTGGTTTGAACTTCTAGAGGCATCCTCAGTCTATGGTGGCCCTCCTGTAAGCTCCTTGTTTACTTCTGTAGCCATTAATTAACATAATAAGGTAACCTGATATAAGTAGTAAGCATTAATCCAAATTTTTCATAAATAAATACTATTAAATTATGAAAACTCGTTTTACTATTTCAAATAGTTTCAGTCTCTGTAGGGAATAAAAATCTAGAAAGCAAAATACTGGTAAATAAAACAAACATTTTCAGTGGAAGAAAATTGTTTTTGTGTATATTAGGGATGTAATAATATAGCTTATTGGTTAATGCTATAGACTACGCATTTCCCTCCTACCCCCCATGCCAGTAAATTTTTTAGCTGGATGGCCATCAGCCCAACTCAGTCCTGGCTTGCGCCAGGTCTGGGACCTACCTCTATTGCAGCTCTACATTTAAAGTGTATTAGGAGCCAGGTGGGCAGGCAGCCCAGCTCAGTTCTGGCTCGCACTGGCTTCAGGAGTGCTGACACCCCCAGAGAGGGGCTGCTGCCACTCTGCACTGCTGCCTCTGTATCAGAGGCAGCAGCATGGGGTGACAGGCAGCAAGTCCACTAGGGGGAGCTGTTTTTTAAACTGGCTCCCCTGGCAGACCAGCTCCCTCCTAGTACTCCACCCTCCTGCCTCTGATACAGAAGCAGCAGCAAGGAGTGGCAGGGGCCTCCTCAGGAGTGGGGCCAGAGCGCACTGGCTGCCAGCCCACCCCATGCCTGGGGACTATAGAATAGTTGAGTAACCGATAAGAATGAATGAGCTTAATCAACTATTCAATTAACTGATGTTGAACAGCCCTAGTTTATATAAGAAAAAAAGACCCAGGCCAACAGCAAGAAAGTGTGAGCACTTGCATTTCAGTGAATTCACATGACAAATGCTACATAATTGTTGGCATTTTCACGCTTCAAACTTCAAAGTAATTCTGATCCTGGGTGAAGTGTCATACACACAAGCCAAACATCCCTGTTTGCAGGGGTCAGGGACGTTCCTGATATTTTAACAAAATATTTTCCATTTGTTTTTCGTCTCCCTCTCTTTTAGCCCACTGTATTTCAAATACATTGAAATATGCTTTTCTCTCCAAATATCCTTAATTACAGCATTCTCAAAGAGGCATCAGTTCATTAAATGTTACTCAGTGCTATGTTTTAGCCCAGAAATAGACTCTTTTTTGGAGAATGCAGGAAAAAAGGAGGCACCACAGCACATGTAATAAAATATCCAATATTTAAATATTGGGACCACTCCACTGCTTTATACGAAGATTTACATTGCCTTGTACTTCAATAGTTTTCACAGAGTTTTTATATCTTTTCCTTACTAACTTTATCCATTGAGGTATTTTGGGGCATATTTTACTGGCTCATTTTTTCTGGTTTATGGGCAACAAATGTTTCCATCTTCTTTTCTTATGGCTTTTCAACCCTTTTTCTATGGCCAGAAAGTGGAGCTTCACATGGACATAACAGAGGATCTTTAGCAGCCATGAACTCACCCCATAACCTGTCTCACTTGATTGTAAGATACTCAGGATAGGGACTGAACCTCACAGGATTGGTTGGGGTGAATGCTACTAGATAAAATAAATTCCTCAGTAAATATCTTCCTAATGGCAATGCAAACATGCAGTCATCATAGGAGAAGGGATTCCTAAATAGGAGCAAAAACAAAGAGATTCCTTGCCTATGGATCAGCAATTCTAATCTTTGGACAAATGGATACAATTCAATTAACAGGATTTGGGAAAAAACAAATTGAAAGGGAATTTCACACTGGTTTTAAAAAACAGGTTAACAGCAGTGGAAACTCAAGTCTTCTCTTTGTCAACACAAGCAAGAAGATGAAGTACAAGTTTTCCTCATGCTGTCCTACCAATGTGCGTCCAGCATGTCTTGGAAAGATCACTCTAGTTGTGAGCGAGTAATTCAGTCATCAGTATTCACTCAGTGCTTGGCCTCTTTGTTGAGCCAGACAAATAACGGTCCTGTTAGTGCCTACTGTATTTTTATGAGATATATTCATAAGGAACTAATGGCTAAACCTTAGCTCATGTAAATCACTGTGGCTCTACTCACTCACTCTTAGTACATGCTCTTTATAGTATTTATTACTATTGTATGTATTGTTCATAGTATTGTATTCAGGCCCACCAACAGCAATTCCAAGCCTCTGTGCAGAACAGTCAATGGGCCCCCACACACCCACAAGCCGTGCTCAAGAAGAGGTGGTCCACCTGGCACTTGGGGTGGTGCTACACCTGTGCTGGGCTGGTGCACAGTGAACTACTGGCTGTGCTTCTGGTGCCAAGCAAGCTGCTGGGTGTGCTCTTCCAGCATGGCCAGGGCTTCCATATGCCCGCCCAGCTGTGTTTGCCACCTGGGTGATTTAAAGGTGCCGGGCACCCCAGGCCATT